TCTGACAATTTCTTTTCCAAAAATTAATGGTTTGAAGCCTTGAAAAGAACTAGTTTTCATAAGACATTTAACATCAAACTACTTCAACATATAAAAATAGAAGAAGCCAACAGACTGATAGACATGATGATATATCTCTTACGCTGGTTCACCTCGCACTCGCACGTAAAGAAACATCTTCAAGCCTCACTTTATATGCTATTATATTGCTAAAGCTTTATGCAAAACTCGATTACCATCACGCTTGATGGACGAGTAATTTATAGGAGCGCCTGCCACAAAACTATCCATTCTCACAACAAAGTTCAAGCTTAAGATTCCCTTGCATCCTTTTCTTACAAGAAATGAATGCATCGGAGGGAGGGTCGAATTCAACACACAAATAGAAAGACCTCAAGAAACTTAAGTCAGACAAATTTACAACTCAAACAATGAGATTAGATTTAAAACATCACTTAATCCAATTTAACTAACGAGCGTCTCTCTCAATGTACACTCGTTATTATTCAAACAGGACTTCGTTACGAAAAATAAAAGAAGTTATGAATGTAGGACGCGAGATGATGCTTGTTCTAACTTTCTTTCAAAAGGAAAATTTTATGGGATGACAGAGACTAGAGAGTATTTATGATGAACTAAAATGGGAAATAATAGACTAAATAAAAATTTTGAAAAAGAAAAATGGGATTGAATTCAACCAGTGCTACCAGACAGATCACCAGAAATAGCACTTCCATAGGAAGCAGAACCTGTTTGGGAAGAAGTAGCTCCTCGAGCTTTCTGAATTTGACGTATTCTGAAGAAATCCCTAGGCAATGGCTGACTTTGGACTGTTGTACTTTCATCATCATCTTGTCCTATCAACCAATCAACAAACATCCCGTCGAGTTATGATTTTGTCGACAAGAAAAAATAATTATGTAAAGATAATTGTGATTCTTTGCAGTCCTTATCATCAACCGTTAACTAAATGATGACGTGACATATCCTGGAGATCTAAAAAGGAGTGAAAAGTTAAACAAAAGTATGGTGACACGATCTACAAACAGTTGGACTTGATACATTACTTCAAATAGATGAGTGTTATATACCAATCAATTTTTTTTCCAACTGGTTACACTTTCTGCCACGCTCATACAAATCAGTCAATATTAATTCAATAATCATGTCATGTCATATTTTAAAGTTAAGGATGTAAGTGAAACTTTCTGGGTTTTCTGAGTTTAAAGTTGAAGGACTAAATTTCTAATTTAATTTCAAATATGTGAGCGTGAAAGCTGGAATCCAAGGGGCATGTTGCTGATGCATGAAATTAGACATGAACCAATGGAAGGCACAATAAATAGAGAGAATAGAGGAAAAACATACTGTCGTAATCTTTTCTCTTCCCTGATTGTCTATCTCTGGTATGCTTTAGAGAGGAATTTGAAAATGCGTGAGACTTGCTTGAACCAGAAAGGTCACTAGTGGTAGTGGTAGCAACAGGACCAGCCGAAACTTGTGCTGGTGTTGCCCCTGATTTGATGGATGGAATTGTAGGTATGTCACTCTCGAGACAAACCGATAGTACAACATCGACGTCTGGGGTCGGACCTGAAAATTTCATAAGAAGGAAACCAACCTCCCATTAACCACCATGTGTAATGAAAAGAATGAAGAGAACAACAAAGCATGGAAGTATGAGAGAAATTGTACAAAAGGAATAATTTCTATTCACTAAAATGAGAACTGTTTACATATATTTATTGAAAAATAAATAACCGACGTTAATCCACTAATTAACCACTGCCCTTCAAATTCTCTCTAACTAACATCACTAACTAAGCCTACGAGCTCTCCCCAACTTACACCCACTCCACTACATAATTAACTACTACCTATGAAATTAACCACCAACATAACTCCTAACAGAGTGAACTCTTGCTCGAATTTAATATTTACAATCAGATGACAGTAACAACAAAGGAAATCAAATAATCTTGAAACATATAATTGCCTTCAATATAAGACATAAAAAAGGTTACCATCAACAGCGGGTAAGTTTGCAAGAAATGCTATTAATGCAGCTGGTGTTGCTTTTAATATTTCGTCAAATACATTAGTTGGTCCTCCACTCACAACAGAAACAGAATTTGGCAAGGTGGTTGGATTAGCAGGAAGTCCAGCAGCTGTTGCAGTTGGAAGAATTCCAGTCACCACCAAATGAAAAGCAAGTTCAGTAATATCAAATAAAATAATCAATTGGTATATAAAAAGTCTGGACACAAAATTATCTATTTTGTAGCAGGATAGTCATTCATAAAAATTTTCATTTTTTCTTGTAAGTCTGCCCCAGTATTTCAGTGAATATTATTCCACCACATATCTAATATGTTTAATCAACCAACATTTTCTTTAGTCCAACTTCAAAAAGTTCCTCCGTCTTACAAAGTCAAACCTCTGGTCAGGCATACGACTAAGTGAATTTTACTAATTTTATCCAATGGTATCACCAAACTAAATAATACCTGAATCTGACTAGTGACTTCTATTCGCCACACTGCCAAGTATTTAATTTTGGCCATCTTCACTCATCTTTCTCATTTTTCCTCGTAAGGAAAAATAATCCATTCTTACAAAACTATGAATGAGCAGGGAACCAGTATTCCAAGCTCATGGCACAAAGTATTAAAAGAAACCGTAAAAAAGAGATGTCTAATAGAAATCATTAGGGAGGATAAAATGACTAGATGATATTTAAATTTGATTTCTGAGATTTGAAAGTTCGACTTATTTATTGCAATACAAAATATTTAGATACAATGTAATATTTATAAAAATAAAATGATTGATAAGAAAATTAATAAATCATCAGACTCTGAAAATATGATACACCAATAAGACTGTCGTATAGGATAGATTACATAAGAACATGATATGATCCAAATTGCTTAACTTGCAGGATAAAATTCTGGAGTTTCGTAAGTACCTAATTTTTGGCTTGGGTCATAAATCACCATCTGAGAGGTGTCTGGATATACGACCTTTGTAGATGGAATTGAATGGAGACCTGCAGAACCAGTATCTGAGCCAAATAGGAGAGAGCTTACCCAGCAGAAACAGATATGACCAAAATGTTTTAACAAGACAAGAACAATAGAATTACCTAAAAAACCAGGTCCACTAGGCAGAACAGATTTTTCTGAGTTCTTATTTATGTTCTTAGCGAGCCACTGAAATAGTGGAAGTAGCAACAGTCATATAAAAACCCTTACAAGTAACAAATTAAAGATTCAACATGCACTGCCCCTTATTTCAAGTTCAAATAAAAATGTACTTACAAAATACACAACAGAAGATGGAACAAAAATGGCCAAAGGCATCTATAACAAATCGTGTACAAACTCCAAAGATTAAAATTAAGATTACCTCTTGTCTGGACAAATTATCCAGATCACTAGATGAGCATGGCCAGAGATCCATAAAACTATACCGGGATACAACATCTTGTAATGTACCTTCCAATGTTGATGCTCCATCATCACCCATTTGAGAAAGAGCCTCCTTTCTTCTTTTTTCAACCTAAACAAGGCTACAAACAATGAAAAGGTGGAGGAGAACATTGTGCATTGTCCATCTGGGACTGATGATGAAATAAATAAACAAATTTCCTCTTACAAAGTCTGGTGCTGACTAAAATTGATCACAAATGAAATTCAAAATACAGTTCACCTTCAGAGGTTGTAAATGCTTAAATCATTGTTGCCATTGCCCTTAAAAGAAATACTTTCCTCAAGACATCAATACTTAAAATGTTAGTGCCTGTTCTTTGTTTTCTTTTCAAGTAAACCCTATGGAAAGTTATATTCTCTTTGAAAATAATTTCTAAACAGAGATGCATATTTTGTCATGTAATCCAAGTGCCAGTTTCACTTGTAAATCTTTCTTTCCAATTCTATACAACGACTGTTTAGATATGAGATTCAATTCTTGTAATACAAGATGATGAAAAGGATCCCCTCTAAAATGTAGGCTTCTGTTCGAATTTTAGCAATGAATAGGTTAAATTCGTGATAGGCTGCAAAGGAGAAAGATGTTTAATCCTTGTTCCCCTTCTTGGTGTGTTCTAATTACTGCAATAGGTGGTACAAGTCGTGGGAAGAGGTGTGGGAGGTTCTTAGATTTAATACCTCTTCATGGGCTTCAATTACTAAACTATTTTGTAATTATCAATTAGGTTTTATTATTATTTTGGATTGGAGTCCGTTTGTCAGTTCGGACTCTTTTGATTGGCTGGTTTTTGTACGCTCTTGTAGTTTCTTTCATTAACATGAAAGCATGGCTTCTCATCAAAAATTACTATGGTAGGTTGTTTATAGAGAAGAAAGTTCTTTTATTCCCCTTCTTGTGGTAGGGATAAGGATAACTAATCAATGAATTATTTGTTCCCTCATTTCTCTGAATGGAACTAAAGAAAAGGAAAGAAAAAATAAAAAGGGTCATCAAGAGGCGAGGGAGAGGCTTACCCCCTTTTGTAGAGTGGGTTCACATACCCACCCTTCAAAAGGGGATCTTAAAATCCTTCATGAGAGAGTTCTCGCCCTTCTGACAGGAGCCAGAAGTCTTTTCATACAATAAATTACTTAAATGTTTACACAGAGGAGAGAAGATGGCAAGGAACTGAAACATGATATTCCATTAAAAAATAGAGCCGAATATCAACATATGAAGTATGAACCAACTAATTGAAAACCATGGGATGTGTAGGGCTTGAATTTCCAACTTGCAAATGACCTTAAGTTCAAGGGATGTTTTTTCTATGCAGCCAAATAAAAAACAATGCATGTGGTTACATTGACTTGTATAATTGGACGGATTCAAGAATAAGCTCACTGTGAAGGAATGAACTAGTAAAAAGAATTAGTACCTTCAGCATGCTAGCAAGGTCTCCATAAGTTTGCTCAAAATGGGTGAACTGTTTCCAAACCTGTAGACGAGGACGTCCAGAACAACTTAAAAACCAAACCCCCAAAAGGAAAGGCAATTAATGATGCAAATCCATTACGAATATTAAACATGAAATAATTAACAAAAATACTGTATAAGAGAGAAAAAGGAATGTCATAATTCGTATGAAATTTTCAAATTCACCCATGAAATAGCAACGCAAAAAGGAGACTAGAAATTGAAAATAATTACAAACATTTGAGGTCTTTCCAAAGGAGAGTGTGTTTTTGGGACTAACCACTATCAAGGTGCATGAACCAGCGATATAAAATTAAGACTAGAAAAACAACTTAAGGCATGTTGGTGTGTATAGCATCGTATACGAACTCTAAGTATTTTCAGTGGTATTCAAATCCACAAGTCCAGTTAAGGCAGGTTAATGTGTATATGCAAAGTTAGGACTCTGCATCAGATATAAATTCTTCCGCTTTCCAGTGGTATTCAAGTCAACAAGTCCAGCAACAGTAACAGACTGCAAGTGTCGATGAAGCAACTTAAATCCAACCCTACGTCACACACATACATATCATGATATCAAAACATATAGAATAGAACCAATTGGGAATTCTAAACCAAAGTTGATATGCACCACACAATTTGATGCAGAACGACATGTCAAAAGGTTAATGAACCATTATGTGTTTGGCCAACGAAACAGGGAGGTTAAGTAAAGAAAAATAAAATTTTATGAAGTAATAAAAAAATCATTAACGTGTTTTCTTATTCAAATGAATCAGTATCTCACTGGAAGAGAAACAAGGAAACTTAAATCCATCGTTGTTCATATAAAATTACTATACAGAACGGAAGGACAAGCACTATGCACTTTGTCAAGGGTAAAAGATCGTTCTTTAGTGCTGTGGAAACTAGCAAGCTATCAGAAGTAGAAGTAAATTAATAAAATAGAATTTCAGCTACCTCAGTTGATTCCTCTAGCGGCAACGTGCTTAAAGCACGCTCAAATAAAGCCCGAATGTTTCTGTCATCATTCAAGCGAGCAAGGAAATCTGCATATCTGTAAAATTACACATAATATAAGTTGGCTTTATTTTTTTTCATAAGACATAAAATAGTTATGTCCTTGAACAGGCTACAGGGCCAAAAAACTCTTCTGTCAAGCCGCAAACAAGATAAAGAGGATATTACAAAAATTCTGGTTCTTGGAAGCCGGTGGAGAGCCACCAAGTTAAGCTCTCCCACAGCATCAATATCTCTCCTATTCTTTCTTTCTTCCCTTTTTCTTTTAAAGCGCAAGGCTTAAGCAAAAAAAAAATGAGGGTATATCTTATAGGCATGCGATAGAAAAATATAAACAAAATTTTATATATGAAAAATATAATATTGTGAATTAAGAAAAAATTATGACATCAGAGCTGCGTAAGAGATTGTTTAGAGCTTTTCTAAAAGATTTTTTGGAGATATGAGGGGTTTTCAAGGATATCTCTTAATTTATTTATTCAAAAAATAATGAAATGGTGAGGCGCCCTCCTGAAATTTTTTTGGAGCACGCTTTTTAGAGCGCCGACTATCATATCAAAGATATCCTACTTCTAAGCTTCCAAAATACTAAAAGAATCAAACAGATAACATACCACCAAAGAGTGACCTTAGCTTAATTGAAGGGGTAAAGGGTGGTCTAAAAAATGTACTGGAACTCTCAAGAGTTACACATAGATAGCAGTTAACTGATTGAAATTCTATATACACAGTGTATGGACGTAGTGACAGTCCACAGTTTCTTTTTTCTTTTTTTCTTTTTTTTTTAAATCAGAAATGGGAAAACTCACTCAAGAATGTATGTGGGCTCATTCATAAACCGCTTCATTCCATCTTCAAAAACATTGTGTGCCATCTGCAGCATCATTTAAGATGAGTAACGAAGATGACTAGGGTTTTTCTTTATTAGCCAAATACACCACGTCTTTAATTGATCATGGTTATAGGAGGAGCAAGATAATTTGATTTATCCAAAGCATGGACGAGCAGAGCATTAAGAGCATATAATCCATATTGACCTCACATGAAAATAGAAGCAACTACATTGTTTTAATCATCAATGGCAAGGTTAAAGGTGTAAGAAGACCATTCAGTTCCTTTTCTTAAGGATAAAGAGCACATAAGTGATCAGATCTAGAATTGCATTGCCAAAGTGGAAAGAGAGAGACCTTGGGATCCTTGTCAAGACAAAAGGCCATCATGGCATAAGCAACATAAACATGATACGTGCAATTTGGGGATTTGCGAGCATCCAAGAAGTGTTTGCGAGCAGCCTCAACTCCTTCGTTTCTCCTAAGAAAACGGATAAACTGCATCACAAACCACCATCGTTACATCCTTCCCAAAGAATTTTCTATAGCAAGGCAGACACAATGCATATTTTGTATAGCAAAACCATACAACCAAAGATTTCTAGGAGATGAAATTGAAATAAATCAATTTCTTTCCCCTTTTTGCTAGTGACAAGACATCAGGACCTTTTTAGAATCCTCATTTAATCATAAAGTTACCCCACCCCAGCCAAAAATTGACACATTATATTACCAGTATATTTGCTAATTTTGAGAGAATAAGACTATTGTGCTATATTCAAATATGTGCAACTAGGTATACTTATATAGAAGAAAGACGTATAACAAAATAGGGAAAAAATAAAGAGAATATTGACCAAATATTAACAACTAATAATTATACATAAGTATTCATAAATATTAGGAATTCCAACCATCTTCATACAAACTATCTAAGCTGAAACTCTTTCCCTCAGAACCCAAAAAATTCACCATCCAGATAGCTTTAGACTTCCATAGACCATGAAAACAGGATATTCAATATGATTTCCCAAATAACCATGGATCTAAATCCTTATAACCTTTTAATAGTTTCTGATCAATTGTGAGCCAACTATTTTTTCAGAGACAAGCATGTATGTGGAATAAATAACGTAAGCTAAAATGTCAAACTCACTTGAATATGTGCCAGGGCAGTCGCATTAATACCATCACTCAAAAGGCTTTCATATATCTTCTTTGCAGACTACAATAAGGAATTAGAGTCAAATGAATGGGCAACCCAAATATACATTACTGTTCAGGGAAATCAAGATTTCATGCCTGAAGTGTTCCGCGAGATTCCTCTAGCTCTGCGTAAGCATATTTTAGCATATCTGAGTCTGCATATAGAAATAAGAGAAAAGGTGATTAGATGAGGAAAAAAGAAGACACTGAAACTAGGTGTATAAATTACAAGAACCAAAATGTTTGTGCTACTTGAGACAAATCTGTTAAGCAAATATTATGTGTGCCTCAAGTGTTGATTAGTTGAGTCACTGTAGATGTAGAGAAGAAGACAAGAAGGCTAGAAACTAAAATACATGCTTGAAAAGAATTATCGTGATATAAGTGAGAACCAAGTCGTTTACTAAATAATAAACAAGATACCATTGAAGAAAGATATCTACAGAAAAGAAAAGGTACTAAATTACCAGGGAGAGCATTCAAAGCTCGCTGAAATACTTTAATTGCAGCTTCTATTGATCCATTATTTGCATGCCACGTAGCATAATCGTACCATACATCAGGATAATGATACAGGTACATAAGACACTAAAAATATCCAAGTAGAATGAAGAAACCACTCGTTAAAACCTTATCAGAAAATGGTTGTCAAGATTAATACATTTCTAAAGAGTACAACTAACATCGAACAAAAAGCAGCTTATGCAAGAAGCAAATAAAGTGCTTATCCTAACTAGGTTTGATCGTTGTGTTTCCTTTTTTCTCTTTTTTTCTCTTTTTTTGTTTGACATCAGATATTTCCAAAAACCTCTAACTAAGACTTGCTCAACTAACCTATCCCTCCCTCTCTCATTGACAGTGCTCATACCAGTCCTCCTTAGTTAACTATTGATCTTGTCAATCTTCCAAATCTGATTGATATTAGTCATGAAGCAGAAATTAATTTTAAGAGGATAAAATGGATACATACTGAAGTTATTGATCATTTAACTTCAACAAACAAGAAATATGCTATGGCTTGGAAGCTAAGAAAGCATGGCAGACTTAAATAATTCACTGAAGAAGTAGCCATGGCCCACGATACATTTATGACAATATATTTTTTTGCCAATACACATAATTAACACAAGCATATGGTGATAGGACCTTGTCGTATTCGTTACAAAAGTTGGACCCATGCTTATGTCATCGAACTATCCTCAGGTCTCCACATTTTCAATGTGTTCGACATATCAAATCTGGCTGACTAACCTCCCAATGAATAGTAGTAGTAACATCAGCTTGAGGTTCAATTTATTTTTCGGGAAGCGGATGTTGATGAAGCCATTTAATGTACTTAAATACAGTAACTTAAAGAGACGTGTTATTAAGCATAAAAACGTGGTAGCTATTACAAATAGCATGGCCCCTTTTATATGGGTTATCCTGCTAATTTACATGTACAGAATTACCCTCAAGTTAACCATAGGAAAAGGTAACTCTTAAACTACTAAGTCTGATAAATCTTTTGATACAACTACACAACGGTAATTGTAGAAAAGATTGTAAGAGTTATATAGGAATATATTCTACATCCGTAAACAAACAAAGATTCACTGATATTGAAATATATTCAACCTTCTCTTAACCTAATCTAATCCAACCCACCCCATCCTCAAATCATGTTACTAAAAAGTAAACTCCACTTAAGGTTGACACAAGTCTCACTGCTTCAGTTTGCTGCTACATGAGGATGATAATGTATAAATTATAAATCATCAATAAACGAGTGTCCTTAATAACCCATAAAAGACACGCAACCCCCCTGTGCATATTAATAATTTTAAATCTACCTGCTCATATGTGAATATAATCCGTTTGTTGGATGATGCGCTGTCTATCCTCTGGGGATTTCCTCTGAAATTAGATCACATAAAATTAAAATTAGTTTAAAGACCAGAATATAATTTCAATGCAAATGATAAACAACAATAACAGAAGATTCATTTTACACACAAAAATGATAATTTGTCTATTCAAGTTAATATTTACAGCCAAAAGTACGAGAAGGCGCTCAAATGCGGGTATCATCAGACAGGAATAAATAAATAAATAAATAATAAAACAAAAAAAAACTAGAAGTCAACGAGTTCGGGTAGATGATGCTGTAGTTAAAATGCTAATGCAAAACAAAAGGCCTTCTTCCTTCTTCTTGTCTGGACTCCAGTTTCATTGTAACATGAGATAACACAATAGTAAAGGAGATACCAAACGTCAACTATGTTCTGTATATGTCAAGAGATACCCAAAAGTTTATTATTCCATAGTAACAAATGTGGAAACATATTTAATAATCAATTTTCCAGGAGGACCATCAAGGCAATCAATCATCATCAAAAACGTTAAAAACATAAACTAGGAGAATGAGAATATAGGATGCATGTCTCAAACGACACAAATAATCGAGTGACACCAATCATTTTCAGTCCAGACCAAAGAAACAAACACCTAAGGCAGAAATTCTTACTTCTCGAACGCTATTAGCCTCTTCCATGACATCCATTGCAGCTCTTCCTGTGAGATCAAAATTTAAATACCTGGAGAACTTCAGTGCTCATGTGTTGGACGCTTCGATATAGCCTTACCAGAGTATATCACATATTTGCAAAGATGAAAGCAAAGCAGTGCATTTAACATGAAATCACCCAGCCAATGATCACAATCGACAAAATGAATCTACCACACATTTGTAATTCCCTGGAGGGGCATATCTAAGATCTAACAATCAAACATGATAGGTTCCATTCATTTAGCTTGTAAAAAATTCAATGTAAAAGAAGGGCGAACATAAGGAGATTCCAAAACAAATGAAAATATGCAGAGATCTAGAAAAGGCTTCATTCAATTACTCTTTGAAAGCATAATTAGAAAATAAGATTTTAAGCAAAAATAATAATGACAATAACTGAGATCGATTGGTGTGAATACATAAACTTAATATCCACATCAACTTTGACCTTAGTTCTTAATTTACCAAAAAACACAATTGACAACATGTAGAAAATATAATATCCAATGTAAACAACCATTTGGTGAGAATCTCATGACACTCAATTTCACACTATTGTATAATAACAAGATAAAAAGAGCAAGAGACGGGAAAACCCCCAAAAACAAAGAAGACATAGTTGCAGCTTCCTTTAACATGCAATCACGTGTACCAGTCACATGCTTGAACAACAGAAACATATGGCCACCAATCATATATCATAAGAAGGAAAAGTAATTGCCTTTGGAGAGCCAGTTGGTGGTACAGCAAGTATGTTACAATCAATCTCATCAACATACTTCTTCCTCTCCCTATAGACAGCCCGAGCACTGTTAAATTTTGGTTGATATTCAGATATTAGTCCCTTCGCCTGCTCCAGAAAATAACGTCAATTGCGTTTACTGTGGAAAGAAAATTTATGTATACACACACAGCACACAAAATATAGGTAGTTTTTCATTCATCTGGAACATAAGACCATAAATCTAACATATAAATGCACTTGCAGCTAAGATCAACAGAAAAAATCATGATTGAGACAAAAGATGAAGGTGACTTGCCAGTTGACGGCTGACAGAATTCTCAAAATTTTCATAATCCCTCCACAGTTGCTCAATGTGATGGGTAGGAGTAATAATAGCTTTCTGGTAGACCTTCCTCACTGCAGTCATACGTTGCGACTCCTCCTGTGAGCTTAGAGCCTATACAATCACACAAACTGGACAGAAATTATCTATAATATTAACAAACCACCAAACTCATTATTAAAAGTTGATAAGAAATGTATGATATAAAAGCTCTACAAACCGGCAGTGACTTTAAAAAGGCAATGTATTCCATCCATACAGGGCCAGATGCTATGTCAACACCTAGTAGCATATGCAATAGTTACCATTAGATACTCTGAGTAATCACTAATCACTAATCAATGTCCTAATGTAAGCAGCATGATCGCACCTATTGTTGACTTGACACCGTCATTCTATTAGATAAATATCAATGAAGCCTAAGACAAATCTAAAAGCATAAATGTGAAACAAAGAGCTGAAAAAATAAAGTAAAAGTTTTGGAAAGAAAAAACTCTTATAGAAGATCACCAAGATAGCTGAGCATAAAATCAAAAGCTTTTCTAGTTTCCTCCTGGCCTTCCATCCCTTTCCTTTCATTGACCTTCTTGATGAATCGGATGTAGCAACGCCTAGATAACAAAAGTAAGAAGCAGAAGCAAATTCTTCCATTTAGCTACCTGAAAGGAAGCTGAGAGAGTCAAAAGGTCTTCTCATTAAAAAGGTCATGCATCGTCTTTTTCCTTGTTCTTTATTTTCTCCTTTTAGCATCTTGTCTTTTTTCCTTGTTTTTTTCCTTTTTTTTTTTGTTTTTCTTTTCGCTCCTTTGGGAGTTTGTATCTCTAAACTTGTTTGATTACTTTCATTCATCAATGAAAATTTTGTGTCTCGTTTTTTTTTATATCCGTGAGTGTCCGGCGCATTCGTGTCTTTTTAAAAAAATAAAATAAAAAGGCCATGCAGAAAAGAGCACCAAAGATTAACTCAATAAAAAATGATAATAATCTGAATCATGCATATGTACTTTTTTTACTGGTTCAATACTTGGAACAAAACAGGCAACTTAAACCCACTGTTATAAACAATTAAAGAAATCAGCATAGTTACTTCTGATATGTAACTATATAACATGTCATCCAAAATCAATATTTTTTAATTAACTAAAAAGCATATATGCCAATATATTAACCATTAATCAGACCCACTACCCGGGACAATTAGTTCCTCCAAATAAAAAATGACACAACCAGTTCCAACTAGGCCTTTAAGTTGATCTTAAGTTATAATTTATAGGACTTATATTCATGTTTTTCTGTGTTTTGAAGGTTTTCTTTCAACACTGAGGTGTAATTTTTCATTCCATCAATGAAAAATTATGTTTCTTTAAAAAGAAATAAAGAAGAAGGATAAGAATAAATACAGCTGGAGATGACAAATCATCCCAAACAAAGCCACTAGATTACACAAAGAAATTAATATATATATATATAAAGAGGAGAGAGGGGACTTCCAATTGGCATTAATCAAAAAAGGGTCATAGTTACATGAGTTTTTGGAGAAAAGCTCCATAAGGGAACTTTAAATTCGATCATCTCCCAAATCTCCTCACTTCTAGATTTCTACTGACAAAGTTTATGGTTATTTCCCATCCACACTTCTCATATTGTAGCTTTAACAGCATAATCCCACAAAACCATGAGCTTGAAGAGATGACCACAAGAGAGGTCGTCAATACACTGCTGGATGTATTTTGGGAAGCACCAACATAAGCTAACTGAAGCAGAGTTCCAAAGGATTGGAGAGACCCTGCCAGTGGTGGAAACTTCCAAGCTTCTTCTACACATGATAAGATAGCTAGGAGATAGGAGATGCTAATCCTTCCCATTTTTTATGATCCAAATACAAATTTTGATTCACTTACAATCGCCTTGCATCATGATGAAAAGATTAGTATTGAGAAAGGTGTCTCTATTAGTTAGAAACCAGAAGAGATTGCAAGACTGGGCTTTGGAATTGTCCAAAACTCACTCCATTCTGTCAAGTCACTGGTCGGGCTTATAATTTTATAATAACCATCTCAAGATTTTGATTTGCTAAACATGGTAATCAATTTAGACAACAATGCACCATCCTCCATACCATAGGAACATGAGATTCATCAGCTAATAAGTAATAACTAATAGGTGAAACAAGGATTATACCAAAGAGGAATGTGAAGACAGTTCAATAAACACCGGCTAAATATCTGTTTTGTAGCATCGTCATTATTTATAACCATGTGTGCCTCCACGTATTGCTTCCAATATTTAGCCTGAAGAAATTGTTAGTAAATATATATAATCAAAAAATATATAAAGCTACATTCAACTAAAAAGAAAAAACTACTTTTCCATGTGTGTGAGTGAGACAAGTAGATGAGTAACTAACAGATTAGGTGATCAAGTAGGAAAACTTCTACTCATAGCCATATGCGAAGAACATGAACCACGATATTGGAAGATATATACATCCTCAATAACAGGAAAATCATGAAATTTTCATTAATATGACAAAATACTCACCTCTCCAGTTCAAGGTTAAAGTAGACAGGCAATGTAACAGTAAAATCAACAGTGTTCCATGATTCTATCCACATCCTAAAGTCTTGAAGGATTTTTAGCAACTACAACCTCTTTGAAGGACAACATACTAAACAATTTCTATTTGCGAGGAAACATTATCTGTCGTCTATCATCCTATGGTGAGAGTGGCTAGGCTGGAGAAGAGTAATTAGTTGGTGTATTTCCTTCCTGCTACATGGCATTCTTTGTCTATGTCCTCAAATTATTTCCCTTTCCAAAATCAAGCAGTTGCAAATCTTTATTATAATGGATCTTATTTTGCACTCAGAGGAAGAGGATATCCAACCTTGCCCCACAGCGTTGTGTACACCTTCCTGGGTTTCTAAACTAATTGTTCTGATAGAAGCAACATTAATCATTTGGTATTGTTCTAAGTTACATTTAATGACATTAAAATTGATTAAATGTAACATCTAAACTCTCAATACTTAGTTTCCTTACATTTTCAAAGGAACAAAATGTCGAAAGAATTATCATCTTATGGTAAAAATAAAAGAGGTTGATGTAATTACTAACCCATTAGTTTTATTAGTTATTAGTTAAAGGCTGAAGTTAGTTGGTTAGCTGTTTTTAGTTAGTTGGTTGGCTGTTATTA